CGAGGAGCGGGTTGGACTAAGTTAACCTAATCAAAAAGTGATGAAATTGATCTGCACAATTTAGGAGGAAAGAAAATCACAAAGCGCAGAGTCAGCGCCACGATCTTCCAAGGACGAATCCTTAACTCAAAGCCAACCAAAAACACCTAAAATAGCCAAAAAGAGGTCGTCTAAGGTAGGAGTGCTGAAGCAGAGAATGCTGAAAGAATCCACTTTAGAAAGCATTGGCACACCGCCAGCTTTTTATGAAGTTCAAGGGTCATTAATTGAAACAACCACCTGATTGAATACTTCACTTGGAAATGAACCAAATTTTGTCATGAAAATCAATGAAGAACAAAAAATTAATTGTATTTATGCGTAGCCCTTTCGTATGAAACGGTTGTGCTTCAAATGCATCAAATTTGGCCGGCCTGCTCATAAAGGGTGGCATTTTCAAACATATAAGTTGTATAAGTGTGCTTTTCCACGAATTTAGGGTTATATTAGAACGCAAAGATCTTGAAATAAAAGCAGCTCTTCTCAACCTCGTCCTTCCTTCTCTAAATTTGACGTTAATGACCACTGTCAATGCCAAGGCCAACATACAATATCGCAGCTTGTCGATTAGATTGTGGACTTGTCAGGACTGTGCTTAGAATAAGAGGAATTCAGTGTTAAGCTGTATCTGCAAAAAAATGCCAACTTGCAACTACCTAGATACGGTAAGCGTCCACCAACCCAAGACCTGAAATTAGCGCCGCGATAGTTTTCAACTAGCGAGCACCTTTCGGGTAAATTTCGTCTAAAACGAACAAGGATTTGAAAAGCTTGGAAACGTTGTCCACGTTCGACTATTCTTGATGGCATTCCAAAAACTAGTAGTTTAATTGATGTAAGCAATGGGTCAAGATCTCAATGATTCTTTATTGGCTAACGTTTCGGCGCTCTCGCCATCATCAGAGCCTGGAAACGACTACCTAAGCGACCTATTTTCTCAGACGAACAAAAGGCTTAGAATAACATTCAATTAGGAGAAAGTCACAACAACATCAGATCACAACCGGATTACGATGACTATACTAACTTAAGATGACAGCACAAAGGTGTGCAGAAGAACAGACCACCTACTACCCAAGCTATGTCCAAATGACTGTATTCAAATCCACAGAGGAAGTGATAACGGGTGAATCCCTAGTGATAGCGATGCATTCCTCCTTTTAATGCATTTTTAGATGTTCGGCGTTAATCCAGAATTCTTCCAACGTTTTGCGCGCTAGAATTTCGAGCTCGTACGACGAGGTTTTCACACCAGTTTGTATCTCGTTGTTTTGTTGAACTAGACGATCTGAACTCAGCGGTGTAGCACATTTTGATTCAACTAATCTAGATGTTCCTCAAACTGCAGAGAGGACGTCCAGTCTCGCCGATTTAAGCATCTTCATAAGAGAAACATGTAGTAAGATAAGTAGCACCGCATACCATACAATCATCCTCTCTACCATGTCGACAGATTACACAATCTGGGGAAAAATGGATACACAAGATTGCGAACTAATCGCCGCTTAAGGTTTGCGCGCATAATATTGACTTTTACAGCGTCCTGTAGACCCATCTTATGCAGACAACCCCCGCCCTGCTCATTTTATCCATGGTAGCAAGAATTCATTTTTTTCAGCGTTGTCGATGGGATTATTATTACGAGTTCTGCAATCCTGAAGAAACACTCCAAATCCAA